AATTATTAGAAAAATAAAAATAAAAATAGTTTAATATTATTAAATAAATTTATATTTTTAATGTCAATATTTGAACTTATTTCGAATAAATTATTAATTTTTTAATTTTAATTTTGATTTTAAATAATTATAAATTTTATAAAAATCAAGACTAAAACTAGAAACCACAACAAAAGTAAATGATAAGTTAATTTAATGTACACGAACTCACTAAAAAGAAACCAAAATCTCAACGAAATTTCGTCTATGTTGTTCCATTTCTCTATCCTTCTGCCCGCTGGAAACTTGAGTGTGCAGTAGAAAAAAAGGAGAAAACAGGCCATGTAAAATTGTGAATTGATAAAAAGCAGCGAATAAAGGTGGTCAGACCCAAATTAAGTTCTTTATGCCAAGTGTGAAACAAAGGTATAAACTGTCTAGAAAGGCTACTTGTCTTATCTTGTCCAGTCTTCTATGAGCACAATCATTATATAAATGACTATGGTAAGGATATATATATATATATATTTTTTACGAGGTAGATGGTTAAGAAGTTAGTAAAGTTAGTTTGTTAGCAGTTGGAATTTTTTCAGGAAAGTGAACCTTCCACCCTCTCATTTGAGGTGCGCGACCATTAGGTCGCAAGTTAGTGGAGTTCACGGCGGTGGCAGAGCTCAAAGCCCTGATCTCCGCCTCACCCAAGCCTTAAAACTTGGGGGCCAACCAATTGGACCACAGGCCCGGTTGGCATGGTAAGGATATATTAGAATATGATAATCTCACAATTTAAATTATATAAATTATTATATAAGAACTCACTCTCAGATATTAAAATATTTTATAATTTTTATTTTATAATTATATAATATAATTCAGAATACGAAAAATTCTAAAAAAATATCAAAAGACTAAAAGTAAGCTTCAATCCACTAAATCCGGAGGTCTTCATCCTTATGGATGAGGAGGGTCTGCCCTTTTTGCTAGAAAGGTGCGGATGCCCCGGACGATTTCAAGAGTTACAAATGTGCGAACTTAACTTTGTTCTTTTGTAACAAAGAAAGCTATTCTAGAACTCTATCAAGCGGCTTGATGGCTGCGCATCTCACTAAAGCTGGTGAACTGTTCACCAGATTTGGAGATCGAATCCCCAATTGTTAACATCTAACAATACTAACCTATTAATCATTGTTTTTATAAAAAAAAAAAAAAAACTATTCTAAAAACTAATACCTAAACCTAGCATACAATCAAACATCACCATATCCTATGGCCTCATCGTATTGGCTTAGCAATTGGCAGTTGGTACCGCAATTGGCAGTTGGTACCGCAATTGGCAGTTGGTACCACAATTGAGAAAGCCAGAACACCGACCATAAAGGAGTCTCACAGAGACAAATCATATCAAGACTTTATCAATTTCACTGTATTGTTAATCAAGAATGGAATCACAGAAAGTTTGGGTTCCCAAGTTTTATTCCTTTTCTTTTATGCTGGCGAACAAACCCTTGAAGTAAGAACTGAGAGGATTACTTAGAATCTTCTGCAGTTCACTAGCACAGCTTTTTCCGCACTATGTAATGTGATCTTCCCCTTTTAACTAAGGTCATCGTAAAACAAGACTCATTCTTGTTTACTGCATAGAATCAGGAAAAACCATGGCATATCAGAAAGATCATCTTCTCAAGGTTGGAAAGGAAGGCTTCCAACTCATAGAGACCTACCATGGCTGGACCAGGGGCAGGCCAGGGCCAGCCATCAGGCATCCTCCTCCTGTTGAGGAACCTGAGTATCTCAGCAGCTTAGATTGCACGTATGTTTATCAGAGACTTAAGACTAACACAGTGTTGCAGGAGCCGCAAGGTATTAATTCAACAACTTATGTTTGTCAAGTTCCTGCGGCAAAACAAGCGTATCCAGCACCATTTCCTGCATCAAAAGATAGCAGCAATTTGATTCCAACAACTAAGGGCCATGACGGGTGGAATTCATATCAGCCAATTGCCAGGCCAAAAGAATCAGAAATCAAAGGCAATGGTACTGGGATATGGTATGTCTATAAGGTAACCGAAATTCCTGCAGAAGGGGATGTTATTACTGGTGAGGAGCACTATTGGTAAAGGTAAAACCATGCTAATAGCCCCATAAACTATGTACTGCAAAATAAAAATACTAGCCTACTACTGCTACGACTAGTTTTTTTGGGCTTGGGGTTGCTTTGAAGTTACCAAAGAAACATGTATATATCTATCTCTTTTACCCTCCACAGCTTGGAAGTCAGCTCTGCTTGTATTGTTGTGGTGCTTGATTTAATATGTATTTTCTTGGTTTTCTTAGTTGTAACTTACAAATTATATATCAGCCCTACTTGTAAAGTTGTGGTATGGTGCTTCATTTCTCCCTTTCTTCTATTCCTCTAAAATCAAAAGTGTGAGTAATCACAAAAAGTTATCTTTATTTTATCCAATTTACTCTTAAAGCAATACTCATCTTCTCTCATTTCTCCACTTTACGTGTTTGAGTAATTACTTAAAGACAATTTCAATAAGGTAATTCAACAGTTAAGAGTTTAAAATTTCAATTTGAAAATTTCAAGTTGTAACCTTGAGTTAAGTGGAGAAGGATTTAAAAATAAGGAAAGGTTATCCCTTCTTATATAACTCATAATCAAATGTAAAAAAAAATTACGTAAAAACAAAATTACAAAAAGGAAAATAATCAAATAGTATATTCTTTGATTTATTAGTTACTAACTTGGTTAAACTCTTTTTAATATTAACATCATTATTAACTTACACAATTCAACTGTTTATCTTTTTTCTTAAAAAACAAATATAATATGAGTAAGAGTGGAAGCAAACTATACTTGGAAATGCAAGTTCTAAAAATTAATTGTTATTTAAGTGCAAACACAACTACAGTGTTTCCTTCATTAAAAGAAAAGAGAGTAGTGTATCTCCATGAGATGACACTAGCTGTTAGCATTTTTGGGCACAGATAGGATATAAAATATATTTGGTATTTAATTTAAAAGTTTTTTGATACAGTTTTTTAAATTTGGTACGTATTAACTTAAATATTTACAGAGTTATATTTGGTATTTAACTTAACATGTATTAAGTACTTGTAAGTAGAACTCCACTACGCGG